GCCGCTGCGCCGACGCTTCCTCATGGCGCAGCGCCCACACTTCATCCTGGTGCTGCTGGCGCTCCATCTGCTGCTTGAACACTTCTGCCTGCGCTCCATCGAGGTGAGCATCTTGTCCTCCGTTTCCTGGGCCTTGGTGAACAGCACCATCTGATCTCCACGCAGCGACTCATTCACCACGGCACGCCGGTCCTCCAACGCCTGGGCGGTGTCAAAAAAATTCGCATCCCGTGTCCGCTTTCCTAAGAGGGGAAAATAAGCAATATACAATATACAAGTTTAGTCGCCATGTAGTTTTACAACATACTAGGAATGTGTTTTTTGTATTTTCACAAATAGAATTAAGGTTTCACAAATCTGAAACTGTGTTATAAAGAATCTTTTGACTCTCTGGGATAATCCAGTCCAGATTTGATGAGTCTAGGTATAGTGGTTTTAGATCAGGACCTGGTCTAATGTGGTCTACATGTAAAAAAAGCACTGAAATCTCCCTTTTTTTTTATTTTCACAAATAGAATTAAGGTTTCACAAATCTGAAACTGTGTTATAAAGAATGTTTGGCCTCTCTGGGATAATCCAGTCCAAATAAATCGGCTATGCAGCGATTTAAGAGGTTCAAACACGGAGGATTGTTCCTTTTTGAAGAGTGCTTCATGTATGCTTGAACTTTGTTAATGTTGTTGAGGCAAGTTAAACATAAAATATGATGAATATTATGAAATAAACATGATTGTGAACATCAGTTCGATGCGTAACGTTCTTTCAAGACAAAGTTACAGTGTGTGTGTACTGTGTGCTCGGGGCCGGTGTTAGCCTATTATGGCTAGCATGGCTAGCTTGATCTACTGAGCAAATAAAAGTACATCTGAGACCATTATTGTGCAGATTAAAACCCCAGTGCATGTAGTTGATTTTACCTTCGTCGTGGTCGTCATCGTTGGCCACTGAATCCGCCGTTTGTAGTCCTGCCCGAGTTTCTTTATTTTTAGCCGGTGTGCCGTGGGGCTGTGCACATTCCCAGGTCGAGTGAAAGCTACTGAACTGGCTTCAGTGCATTCCCTGGGTCGCGTCCTCTGCGTAGATCTCCAGAAGCGCCGACACCTCCTCATCATTTCTTGATGCTTGCCATAACTGCTTTCAAAAACAAACACAACGCACGGAGCGTTGTGTTTTTGTAGCGAGGAAAAACAATGGCGTCTCCACACAACATTTTCAGAGTTGTACGGGCGTGGTTTGCAATTCGCCCAGCCAATCAGCACTGGGGCACTTTTGGAGCACTTTTCACCCACAGAAAAGTACGCTCTCTGAGCTGGCTCTAAAAATGGGGGTAAAAGTACCCGAGATTAAGTACGATTTTTGGTGTGAACGCGACATAAGGGGTACTCACGGAACTAAAACGCGAAAAGTACGGTGAAAGTACTCCGGTGTGAACGCGGCTAATGTGTTCTTTTTAACCAAATCTCTCTCAGAGGGGCGTGGGGAGGGGCTCCTTATTTTCATCTAAAGTAACAGACAGAGAATCAGCACTTTGGAAACAGGGCTGAAACAGAGGGGATTATGGGATGCTGCAATGATCTGTTTGGTGTTTCAGCCAATCAGAGACAGGTTCTGTATATATCTGAGACCTGTGATATATTGTTGAAAAGAGCATAATAGGGGACCTTTAAAGCGTAACCTTTTCAATATCAATTATTTTGTATTTGACTGTATGTCCACTGTAATATAGAGAAACTTGTTTAAAATGATTCAAAAGGAAAATATGATGTAGACCATAAAATGCACCTTATAGTTCACTGAATGATATTATTATTTTAAATTACATTAATCTTAATGATAGTTAAGTTGATGATTGCATTTGTCACCATTACTGCTACATGAAAATGCAGAAATCAAATCCTCCCACACATAAATGAAACCTGTATTCAAACCATTCATTTCCCTTTGTTGCTTTCCCTGCTTTCACTAAAGTGCAAAGAATTTGTGAAGAATTGGCAAAGATACAGAAAAAAACACCAAAATAATTTCACACTGCGCATGCAAACACTCATTCAGATTAAACATATTAGAGAACATCACCTCTCATTGGCTGAACAGGTCCTTACAATGTGTGATTCAGTCATTTGACTGATTTTAGGCTTTCAAAGTATATAAATGGTTGTTAACGCTTATAGGCAACATGAGACAGTTTTAAATTCATTTTAGGCCAATTAATACGGTGTTTGATAGTTGCAAACGTGCTACAACCGCCCAGAAACATTTCTATTAGGAGAAACCCGCTGCAGCTTGCAAACGCTGCAAATATAAAAACACAAATGTTCCAAAACACAGGGGACACTAAAAAGTGACGCACACAGCTGGGAGACCAGGGGACACTAAAAGGTGACGCACACAGCTGGGAGACCAGGGGACACTAAAAGGTGACGCACACAGCTGGGAGACCAGGGGACACTAAAAAGTGACGCACACAGCTGGGAGACCAGGGGACACTAAAGAGTGACGCACACAGCTGGGAGACCAGGGGACACTAAAAGGTGGCGCACACAGCTGGGAGACCAGGGGAGACTAAAAAGTGACATTTTTACCTGTGCTAGACTATGGTGATTTGATCTACATGAATGCACCTGCCCATTGCCTGGAAAGGTTAGATGCCGCCTATCACAGTGCTCTGAGATTTGTTACTAACTGTAAAGCACTTACTCATCACTGTACCCTGTATGCCAAGGCAGGTCTGCCTTCACTTACTGTTCGGAGGCTCAGTCATTGGTACATGTTCATCTACAAAGCCATGCTGGGTAAACTACCTTCTTATATCTGCTCCTTGATCTCACGGAGAGTGGCAAGTAGCTATTGCCTGAGATCACAGGATGTGTTTTTATTACATGTGCAAAGTGCTAGGACTGTTTTAGGTGCTAAAGCTTTTATGTGCGCTGCTCCTCTAGCTTGGAACACTATGCAAAAAATATTGAAACTCAGCATTTTGATTCCCTTGCATCATTTTAAAGCACGACTGGATGAAATATTATTGGATACCTGTAAATGTAAATAGATGCTAATGTATACCCCTGTAATTATGTTGTGATGTCCTTTTTGTTTTCTGTTTGTTTTTATATGTGTAACTCAATGTACCGCAGGTCTCCCTTGTAAAAGAGATCGTTGATCTCAATGGGATTTTTAAACTGGATAAATAAAGGCTACAAACAAACAAGCACACAGCTGGGAGACCAGGGGAGACTAAAAAGTGACGCACACAGCTGGGAGACCAGGGGAGACTAAAAAGTGACGCACACAGCTGGGAGACCAGGGGACACTAAAGAGTGACGCACACAGCTGGGAGACCAGGGGACACTAAAGAGTGACGCACACAGCTGGGAGACCAGGGGACACTAAAGAGTGACGCACACAGCTGGGAGACCAGGGGACACTAAAGAGTGACGCACACAGCTGGGGAGACCAGGGGAGACTAAAAAGTGACGCACACAGCTGGGAGACCAGGGGACACTAAAGAGTGACGCACACAGCTGGGAGACCACGGGACAGTAAAAAGTGACACACACAGCTGGGAGACCAGGGGACACTAAAGAGTGACGCACACAGCTGGGAGACCAGGGGACACTAAAGAGTGACGCACACAGCTGGGAGACCAGGGGACACTAAAAGGTGGCGCACACAGCTGGGAGACCAGGGGAGACTAAAAAGTGACGCACACAGCTGGGAGACCAGGGGAGACTAAAAAGTGACGCACACAGCTGGGAGACCAGGGGACACTAAAAAGTGACGCACACAGCTGGGAGACCAGGGGACACTAAAGAGTGACGCACACAGCTGGGAGACCAGGGGACACTAAAAGGTGGCGCACACAGCTGGGAGACCAGGGGAGACTAAAAAGTGACGCACACAGCTGGGAGACCAGGGGAGACTAAAAAGTGACGCACACAGCTGGGAGACCAGGGGACACTAAAGAGTGACGCACACAGCTGGGAGACCACGGGACAGTAAAAAGTGACACACACAGCTGGGAGACCAGGGGACCCTAAAGAGTGACGCACACAGCTGGGAGACCAGGGGACACTAAAAGGTGGCGCACACAGCTGGGAGACCAGGGGAGACTAAAAAGTGACGCACACAGCTGGGAGACCAGGGGAGACTAAAAAGTGACGCACACAGCTGGGAGACCAGGGGACACTAAAGAGTGACGCACACAGCTGGGAGACCACGGGACAGTAAAAAGTGACACACACAGCTGGGAGACCAGGGGACCCTAAAGAGTGACGCACACAGCTGGGAGACCAGGGGACACTAAAGAGTGACGCACACAGCTGGGAGACCAGGGGACACTAAAGAGTGACGCACACAGCTGGGACGGAGCGCTTGGTGACATTCAGGATGATAAAGCTGAACAACTGTCTCTGTCTCAGAGTGAGTCTGTCTCATAACTGTTAGTGTTTGTCAGGATATCTGAAATGACTAGGTTAGCTACGTTAGCTAGCGAGCTTACAGCAGATCTGCAGTAACAACAGAAGGAGTCATGTGATCACATTGTTAAAATAAGACCATAAAACACTTTAGGTAAGTTTCCAACAACAGAGACAGTTGTCACCTTTTAGTGTCCCCTGGTCTCCCAGCTGTGTGCGTCACTCTTTAGTGTCCCCTGGTCCTCCACCCTGCTGAAAAAAACAGCTATAGACCAGCTTAAGATGGTTGCTGGTTTTAGCTGGTTTTAGCTGTTTTTAGCTGGTTTTTGCTGGTTTTAGCTGGTGTTAGGCTGGTTTAGTTGGTTTACCAGCATAGACCAGCATGGATGTCATGCTGGTCTATGCTGGTTTTAGCTGGTAGTTAAGCTGGATGCTGGTGAAGCTGGTATTTATGCTGGTCTACCAGCAGTCTTGCTGGCTAAACTGAAACAGACACAGACAGACAGAGAGGGCGGGGGACGGCGAGACGGCAGTGGTTGAAACAAAGCGGTATGTTTTGACTGGCACTAATAGGCACTAACGGCACAACGGTCAAGGAGTGAAGAAGATCAGTTGAGCGTTTCTGTGACTCCGCCCAGCGGCTGCTCTTCTGAGAGGCACCGCTCTGACAGCTCTGTCTACTGGGAAACGCGCTAAAAGTCCTTCTGGAGGTAAGCAACACTACACAATTTCACCAAGTCTGATAGTAAAAGCTTTCTCGAAGGTTCGTTTTGCTTTCTTACAACGTTACGTTAATGTTAACTTAATATTACGTTTGCTAGGAGGCTAGCTGTCTTAGCTATCAACAGTTAGCAGCTAACGTTTTCTGCAGTTTGTGTTTCCCCTGAAAAAGGTGATGTAGTTATTTAAGGGTAAGTTAACTTAACGTTATCTTACAAGTTGAGAGAGTTACGTTTTGTTTAAAATTGTCAATGTAATGCCATTAGAGGTTTTGTGTTGAACATGAAGTTAGCAAACTGTAGCTCTCTACCAAAGGTTAACATGTTAAGCTGTACTTTGTGTGGCAGCTCGCTTAATACAAAGAGGGTTTTTGTGCTTCATTGTAAACTTGTCTTACAAATGTGTGTTAATCTACCTGAAATTGTAGGGACAGTTTTTTTCTACTCAATGATACAGACCATTGTTGAGGAGATGCAAAACATACTGTAAATGAGTTGGGTCTGACATACTTTGAGTAATGTTACTTTGTTGTTACTTTAAAAAATGAAACATTATCAGAAGAGGATATCACCAAAGTGTGTGATTCTGTCAGGGGATTTGATCTGTTCTCTGCATGTCGTACAGGGCCTATGTACACACTGCTCTGGTATTAATTAAAAATATAATTGTAAAATGTAAGTCTCCCGCTCTTGTCATCGTTCAGGCTTTGCATTTGAACTCCTGTGACTGGTTGCGGTCTTGAAGGGAATGACTTCCTGGCCTTCCTGACATCCAGGAAAATGGTGAGATTCTAATCCATTTCAATGCCAAAAGCAAGTTATTGTTTTAAACTTTTTTAATATGATTTTTTGGGGAATTTCAGTTTTATTGGACAGTAGAGATCTAATGGAAACAGTGGAGAGGGAGGAGATGATATGCAGCAAAAGGCCGAGCCGGATGGTTGCTGCTCCATGTGGAACGTGTTCTATCAGGTAAAGCACTTTGGTAGCCAGCAGTGGCGGCCGGTGGTCTTTTTTTTTGGTGGGGCTCTTGACGTACCGTAAGTGACCTACCCGGGGGGTCCGGGGGGGTTTCCCCCCGCAAATTTTTTTCGAGAAATGACCCCTTAAATGATGACTTCTGGTGATGTTAGAGGGGGGGGGGAAGGAGAAATCGAGGCTTAAAAATATGAGAAGACTGATCAATACCTCCATAATCTTCAGTGTGGAAAATATTATTTATCAACCTGAACATCTACTACTTTACCAGGAATTTGTGTTCTCAGAACTGGTCTGTTTTTTTCTTTCTTAAAACTGTTCATGTTTTATGAACCAACACCTTCACCAAGTAGCTTTACAGTGAACTGCATGTGAGATATAAAATTAATAGCATCTTTTCAGTAGCATTAATTATAAATATTTAAGTGGTTCAATACAAGTCACTACAGCATTTCAAACTGAACTGTGAATAAATGCAATTTAAAAAAAATAACCACAGCACAAAATGTCATAAATTGTGTTTTTTTCTTTGTTTCTCTGAGGATTATTTACAAACAGGCTTATTTAAATATAGCAATAACTCAGAAATGAAAAAGCTACATCGTCTAACACGAACAACCAGTTAGCATAATGATAATATATGTGTTATGTACAATGTAACTGGCAAGGCTAGAGCAAGAAAGAACATAAAGTTTGCAAAAGGTTTAAATAACTTCAAGTATCTGTCTTCAGATTACGTGGAGGTTTTAGTCCGATGGGAAGCAGATTTTAAGCGACACCGAAGATAAACCAAAAATGTGGTGGAGCTGCAAACCGTGTAGTGTTGCTGGGACAGAACAGGAGCTATAACCGTTGGAAAATACATCACAGACAATGCAACAAACGTGGAGACAGAACAATCACTTCTGTGATAAATGCCCACTTATTAATAAACTTCTAACAACCATGGGAAACCTCCTCTCTACATATAAAGTGATATCCAAGCATGGGAAACAAAAGACAGCATTTACCTGTTTGCATCCAGCTAGCCAAGCCTTTCTTGTGTACCAGCTACTAAGCCTCGTGTATAAATGTTGTCTTTTTCACGAGATTGCTGCGATATATTCAAATCGGGTTGGTCCGGTGCAAGGTCTTTAAGCAACAATTTATCTGCCAAACTTCTCCTTTCGAAAGGATTGGAGATTAGCTCTTGAACAGAATTAGCCGGGGACCGAGGTCCGGAGACTCCACCTGCACACGAAGCCATCCTCATCAACTACTGCGTCAACCGGATACGAGTCACTGTCCAAACTACTCACAGACTGCACTGGGCGCTGACATTGGCGCCCGGTGACCGTCATCTTTGACGACGCTGATTGGCTGAAATTATATTTTCGCGGCATAGTTTACACGTTACAGATAGCAACAGTCAGCTGCTGGTGGCTGCTGCTGCACTGGTTGAAGGCTCCTCTCTTAGCGCCCAGACGAGAGAAGGTGCATGGGCAAGTCCAGGCAGGAAACATGTGACTTATCAGTAACTTTAGACATCGTAACACAATTTTAAACGAGATTTTATTGTAGATTATACATTTTACTGATACCAATTATATAATATTTACCTTGTTCATTAAAAATAAAAATAAAAACATATATATTTTTTTAAACATATTTTTTTTTTTTTATTTTAATTTTAATTATTATTTATTTTTATTTTTTTCAATATGGGAAGAGGTGGGGCGGCGCCCCTAGCGCCCCTATGGACCGGCCGCCACTGGTACCCAGTTATTTATGGTATTGAGTTTGAATTTAGCCTTTGGAAGGTATTTTCCAACAGTGCATTGTAAAGACTGAAAAAACAGGCTCAAGTTAAAGCTTGACATGATTTGGTCTTTTACTTAAAGGTGGGGTAGGTCATTTTGGAGAAACCAGCTCGAGTGCGCTAGAATTTGAAAATACACAACCGGAAAAAAATCTGCCACTTCCTTACAGAGCCCCTTCTCCAACACACACGAGCGCGCACATGACCAATGAGGGCACGAGATAAGTTTGTGCACAGATGGAAGGCTGACAGGCAGGTAGGCCATCCAGTTACTTTAGCCGGGCCGGCTAAAATGATTGGTCGTGCTTTTTACAGTACTACGGCTTCCACAGATAAAAGGTGACTAAAAGGTGACGCACACAGCTGGGAGACCAGGGGACACTAAAGAGTGACGCACACAGCTGGGAGACCAGGGGACACTAAAGAGTGACGCACACAGCTGGGAGACCAGGGGACACTAAAAAGTCTCCCACAGCTCGGAGACCAGGGGACACTAAAGAGTGACGCACACAGCTGGAAGACCAGGGGACACTAAAGAGTGACGCACACAGCTGGGAGACCAGGGGACACTAAAGAGTGACGCACACAGCTGGGACGGAGCGCTTGGTGACGTTCAGGATTATAAAGCTGAACAACTGTCTCTGTCTCAGAGTGAGTCTGTCTCATAACTGTCAGTGTTTGTCAGGATATCTGAAATGACTAGGTTAGCCACGTTAGCTAGCGAGCTTACAGCAGATCTGCAGTAACAACAGAAGGAGTCATGTGATCACATTGTTAAAATAAGACCATTAAACATTTTAGGTAACAGAGACAGTTGTCACCTTTTAGTGTCCCCTGGTCTCCCAGCTGTGTGCGTCACTCTTCAGTGTCCCCTGGTCTCCCAGCTGTGTGCGTCACTCTTCAGTGTCCCCTGGTCTCCCAGCTGTGTGCGTCACTCTTTAGTGTCCCCTGGTCTCCCAGCTGTGTGCGTCACTCTTCAGTGTCCCCTGGTCTCCCAGCTGTGTGCGTCACTCTTCAGTGTCCCCTGGTCTCCCAGCTGTGTGCGTCACTCTTTAGTGTCCCCTGGTCTCCCAGCTGTGTGCGTCACTCTTTAGTGTCCCCTGGTCTCCCAGCTGTGTGCGTCACTCTTCAGTGTCCCCTGGTCTCCCAGCTGTGTGCGTCACTCTTTAGTGTCCCCTGGTTTCTGTTGTGTTTTGAGCTTTTTGCAGCGTTTCCTTTATGCAGCTTTTAGTAAACACTGCTCAAGTTGGTGATCATGTTTCTTCATTTCTTTGCATATGTTTTGGCACATTTGTGTTTTTATATTTGAATCGTTTCTGAAACTGCAGAGCGTTTCTCCTGATGGAAATGTTTTGGGCCGTAGTAAGGCGTTCGCTCCCGTCGGCCACCGTACTTTAAGCTTCTATTGTGACAATAAACTTAATCTAACTTGAGATTAAAAATGCAGCAGAAGCACCGGTTAAAACAGAGAAATGGGAGGAAACGCCACACACACATATACACACGCACACGCACACGCACACGCACACGCGCACACACACACACACACACACACACACACACACACACACACACACACACACACACATACACACACACACAGTATGAAAGTAACATTATAAAAACGGATTAGTTTACAGTTGTGGCTTCGTGGGCAATAGTCAAGTTTCTGTCAGAAATCATTCCCTCTGGACCCCCGACGGTGTGGCACATTTATTTTTATGCTGCTCAATAAAAATATGAAAGCCGAACGAGAGGAAATTAATGCAGATTTTTGGTGATTTTCAATAAGAAATATAAAAATGGTGATTGTCCCCAAACATGGCTGCAGAGTCATGGATGGAAAATTCATTTTTAGTGTTAATTAGACGACAAATTCTGATTAATAAAGGGTTGTTTTTCAGTCTACAGCATCCTATTTAGGTTTTACAAGCTGCCAATGTAGCACAACTACCACGGGAATATAAAATAAATGAGAATTTTTCAAAACATCCATGGTGGTTATTCAAATATCAGCGTAAAGTGACAATTATGCGACTAAAATCAATGTGACTCAATGCACTGCCACTTTGATCATTCAGAGGGATTTTCCTATAAAACCACTTGTATAAAAGTTCAAATATTATTAAATATGAAATGTTATTATCATGACTCTATATGATAAAAGGACCATGCAGTTTGACTTCACAGGAGTTGTGTACACATATCTTAAAATACGATAGAAACTTGTTATTAGAACTCTTTTATGTGTAATTTCTCTTCATTTTTCTTAAAAAGTTCAGGTAACACTTTAGATTAAGGTACACATATTCACCATCAACTAGTTGTTCATTTACACATTAGAGTCAAACTACTAGCTTATTGGTTATGAACAAGACTTCACTTTAAAATAGGGAACTTATTCTGAGTTAGAAAAACCTCATTTTGAGTTATTTTGACACAATTAACACTTGTAGTTTCATGTGTTGTTACATAAGAATAGACCATATTTGTTAGGTGTTATTATGAGAGTTATTAGGCCCATATTGAGCATATTAAGACCCTAAATCATGCACAACAACGTCCTTACTTACAATAAATAAGCTCTCATTAGAGGGTTATTGAGGACAAACTTAACTAATGGCCTTTAGAATATGGTCATGTAGAATAAGGCATTAATTTGTGGTGTTATTTTACAGTCGGTGGTCACTACCGCCATCTTGCGGTTATGGTGGGTACAACACAAAGCTGAGTATTCATTAATTTTCTACTATCAGAGGTAGAAGAAGTACTCAGATCTTGTAGTAAAAGTAGAAGTACTCAGATCTTGTACTTGAGTAAAAGTTTAAGTACTCAGATCTTGTACTTGAGTAAAGTAGAAGTACACAGATCTTGTACTTGAGTAAAAGTACCAGAGTGTAGGAATACTCGGTTACAAGTAAAAGTAAAAGTATTAGCATCAAAATATAGTTAAAGTACCACAAATAAAAGTATTCATTGTGCAGATTGGTCCATTTCAGAATAATATATATGATATGTTTTATAATTATTGATCATTAAAGTGTTCTCAAAGCTGGTAAAGGTGCAGCTAGTTTTAATGACTTTGTATACTGCATATACTATGTTTAAAATATTTTTAAAAGATCA